GAGGATTATCTCTTTTCTCTTTCTGATTAATTAATAGTTTGCATCTGAAGATATATTTAAGAGCATAATCTTCTGGTACATGTTTTATGAATGCAGAAGTTTGTTCTGTTTCATTTGGATTGCCACATTAATATGGAAACATCTTTAGAATTCTAATAAACTACAGTAAACAGTTCTGTTAAGCTCAGCTGTATTTTATAAGCCTTTCAACTTTGACTTTGATTCGCTAATCTGTAGTTCTGTGCAAGTATCTCTCAAACCATTTGCTAATCTGGATTTGTATTTTCTGTTAGTTGAAATGGAAACACACACACACCAATACATATACATGTAGTTAATGAGTATGCATATGAAGACTTTCAGAATATTAGACTTATGTGCTTGTTTTAGTTATAGCATGATAATTAACGTGGATGTACAAAAACTACCAATGACTTCACCGTTTGTTAGGTCAACTGGATGAAGCTTATTGAAAACCCTTCGACATTGTCGCTTCTTTAGATTTTTTTTCTTTTTGGGTTATGCATTTTTGTATATGATGTTTATAATTTAATTTATTGTAATATGGCTACAGCCAAAAAGTACTACCCCTCTAGACAGCGACTGACCCTGCCTATTCCACCTGGATCAAAAGAGAAGCCTACTGTCCTTCACTACAAGAAGAGTCTCAAAGAATACACTGATGGGAATGGAGACACTTTGACTGTGGTTTTCAAGGACCTAGGTCCACAAGTCAAGTACAGCACCCTTTTCTTTTGGGAATACTTGGGTCCTTTAATCCTCTATCCTGTCTTCTATTACTACCCTGTGTACTGGTTTTTCGGCTACAAAGGGGAGCGTGTCATCCACCCCGTCCAGACTTATGCCTTGTATTACTGGTGTTTCCACTACTTCAAACGTATAATGGAAACCTTTTTCGTGCACCGTTTCAGCCATGCAACCTCACCTCTTTCCAATGTCTTTCGCAACTGTGCATATTATTGGAGCTTTGGTGCTTTTGTTGCTTATTATGTCAACCACCCACTTTACACACCAGTAAATGATCTCCAAATGAAGATTGGGTTTGGGTTTGGGTTGCTTTGTCAAATTGCCAATTTCTATTGCCATATGTTGTTGAGAAATCTCCGGGGTGCTGATAGTGGTGGAGGGTACCAAATCCCACGCGGCTTTTTATTCAACATCGTTACATGTGCGAACTACACAACTGAGATTTATCAGTGGCTAGGCTTCAATATTGCTACACAGACCGTAGCAGGCTATGTCTTCATGGTTGTTGCTGCCTCCATAATGACGAACTGGGCCCTTGCAAAGCACCGTCGACTAAAGAAGGTAAATTATTATTTTCTTGTTGCTTTTAAAATAAAGGATTCTACAAATGATTTGTCCCATCTTTGCTTAGACTTTGTGGACCCACTTGGGTTGACATTCTGCCTTGTCAGTATGAGCCTAGGTTTTCTGCAAGTCAGCTTCCCTTTGCTACTTCTTAATTGTTAACTTCTCTGATAGATAGATGTCATGATCATGGTGATCGAGCTGCTTCCCTGGGGGCTCACGTGAGACTTTGCAAACAGTATTAGATCTCCTCATTCAAGATTTCGTCAAAACATGCATCTCATGTTTTGATACTTGATTTAATAATTCAGTTTTCTAATTCCTTGAAATGCAAATAGAACTGTATCAGTTAAGAGTCATGTTAGTAAATCATTTGCCCATGTGTGCAAACTAATATCCAATTGGCCTAGACCAGACCAATAACTCAGTTTTGCATGTTTTTGATGATGATCAGGAGCCATTTCCATAGTAAATATGTCAATTATAGAGACCATAGTTTGCTGTTAATATGTTATTTCATGGTTTTTATTCATCAACCAAACTACACTGATCGAAAATGGTTGACATGCAATCTGACTGAACGCTCACAATAGGAGGGGCCCACCTTTTTTTGGAGTTTTAAATGCATGCGGGTCTCTCACGCATTGAGTGTAGGTCAATGTTTCTGTCATGTATTTTCTGCCAACTTAGATTAATTCTTTATTCATACCCATGTCTCATTCTTTTACAGCTGTTCGATGGAAAGGAGGGAAGACCAAGATATCCCCGACGATGGGTAATACTGCCCCCATTCCTGTAGATTACAGGCAATCATGCACTTGTTTTCTTGTGATTGAGTTCGAATTCAGCAGCATCATTGAAGGTCAAAAGAGATCATTTATCACTAGAGATTTAATACTGGGTTAGGTTTTTTCTCTCCTTTCATAATACATCGGGCCATTCTCCTTTGGTGGTATCTTTCTAGGACTTCTGTTGGGATTTTTAATATGTGGAGTGATCGGATTTCATTTTGTTGATGTAAGTGTTTTTATCATGACTGCTAAGCACACTAGATAATTTCGATCCATGGAAACAATTCCTACTCTTGAATTGACTCGTGCGTTCATCCCGATTATTATGCGCGCAGTCACTGGATAACACTTGATCTGAACTATTTGATCATAAATCACCTTTACATGGGACCATTCATACTAGATTGTGCTTGAGAGAAGCAATTCTGTTTGTGGACTAGGGAAACGAAGAGAATTCAGAATAGTTGATTAGCACTACACCTTAAGCGCATGGCTGAGAAGAGTTCATTCTATAAATTTAAATGACATATTTGGTATGTTGAACCTGACATGATTGATTGAGCATGAACAAGAAATTGTTGTTATGGTCTAAATTATAATAATTTGAGTTATGGTCTTCTAAAAATCCTAATGTAGAATCTTAACAGTTCCTGTCTATGTTTGTACAGTCTTAACTGCATGGAGAATCTTAACTAACTGCATAATGACCTTAAAAGATAATTTGGAAGGACAACGTCGAGTGTCTGTTTGGCACTACTTTTGAAAAGTTGAAAAGTTACTTTTGAGATTAATAAATGTTATCTATGATGATCGATACAGTTAAGAGGGATCAATCTTCAACTGCATTTACCTATCTCTTGAATGGGAATCCAACTAGTATAGCTTGAACAATCAACTAATTCTTGACATGTTAACGTAGGTCCTCCATTTTCAGATTGGCTAATCTATCTTTTTCCCTCGCTTGATCGTCAATGTAGCGGCCAAATCCCACATTTGGAGGTGACATGCCGTCTATCTATAACATGCTAACTACTATCATAATCTCTATTTTCCTTATTAAAAAAAGGATCTTATTACATGTACATCAAGCTTTACACAACGAGTTCCATATTAGCACGACACTCTATCACGAGTAGTTTAAGGCACATTCATCATTTTCATCCAATAATTTCATTACACATAATTTTTTAACTCATTTTCTGAATGTCTTTTTCTAGGCAAATGGTATAATCCTTAAAAACGTGTTCTTGGAAAGCATCCAAAACGTCGCAATGGTGGAAGGTGACGCTGCAGTGTGCAATATGTCGTGTTCCTCATAGCGCGTAAGGTGTTACATTTTGCAAAAACCCTACAATTATCCCACGCGCACACCAACTCAATTATTTTGCGTGCAAAAAAGGAAGAAATTTTTTCTAGAAATTCGCATTTTGTTGTGTCGCAAAAGGAAATTGATTACTAGTTTTGATAATAGTTATCAGATTCAGACCGATCACTGAAAAGTATCAAGTTAGCGTGTCATTTTACGTATGGATTCAAACCAGGTTGATATGCCAAGTTAACAATTTAAATAATAAAAATATAATTTTTTAATTTAAATTAACATTTGAACTCTATAAACAATACAAATTATATTTTTAAATAAATTGTTTAAATATCTTATAATTAATGGAAAAAAATTGCTTTGACTTGCTGGACATGAATATAGTACTTGTGTGGAAATTTTGACAAGTGTCCCCCCCCCGGCAAGGATGTGTGATTAAAAAAATAGAGTAAAATTATAAAAAAAATGAAAAATAATTTTTTTTTTCGAAATAAATATATGGTTGGAAAGTGATTTCCAAAATTCACTTCTACACAAGAACATTGTTTTATCACTATCATTGTTAAAGTACTCGATAACAGTTGTATAGGTCAAACTTTTCAAAGGAGAGATGACTCCATCACATCTATTAATAAAATTTTTGTAGGTAAAGATGAATAGTAACAATCGGGGCATTGAATTGAGTTAGGTAGATTTTGATAGATTATAATAGGTTTTGACCAATTCGATTGTCACCAGCCCTATTAATGTGATTGGAATCGGATTCGTGTCCAGTTTCACTGATTTATTGATCAAATCAGCCAATCTAATTCAAGTCTAATAACTATGATCTTGATTCTTAAATCCTTAGTTTAAGAGAATGTATTAATACCATAATCAACGATCTAGATATATAACATTATTCTACAATTAATTGTTCTTGACACCTTCCAGCATATATTTTTCCATTGCATTTGGACTCTGCATCAATGTCAACTTTTGGAATTTTGATCAGTTGCAATTTTTCCCCCAAAAATAAAAAATAAAATTGCTAGAGGACTTCGTAGAACAACCAGGGTGAAACGCAGGCTATCGAATCCCCCTAACATAAAGAAGAGCCAACTCATGGCACAAGTTGATCTATACTGAGTTTTGAGCATACATCTTTATAAGCTAATTAAAAAAAAAAAACTAATAATAATAATAATAATTGATATCAGTTAACATAAGAAATCGCTTTCAAAGATAGGCAATGTAAATCATGACATGCCAATGCGAAGTCGTCGACCCCCGGTGGCGTCTACCTCTACAAGAGACCATCAACCCCTCGGGGTGCCTCTACCTCTACAAGAGATTATCAACCCCCGGGGTGCTCTACCTCTACGCAAGACCATCGACTCTCTCGAGGGCTCTACCTCTACGAGAGATCGTCGATCCCCTGGAAGCGCTCTACCTTTACGAGAGATCGTCGACCCCCCGGGGGCACTCTACCTCTATGCAAGACTAGCGACAGGCATGGAATTACCTATAAGGCCATCTCAACATTTAGCTTCAAAATCTCTGATGAATTAACAAGGTTACATGGCGATCACCACGGGCACAACCTCCGAGAGTAGTTAAGACCCCCCAACTCAGAATGTGGGGATAATGGGAAGGCCAACGTGGGACACGTGGCATCGCAGTCACCCGACTCTCACTCGGCTTCCGACGTCTATAAATACCTCCCAAGGGCGATACGGGTATGGATTATTGCAAATTTTTTAACTATCTGAATTCCGAATTTATTTTCTCCTAACACGCCTACTAATTCTCACACCGGAGGTAAAATGGGGGAGAAAGCCCGACTCACTCACTTTTCAGGTTATACACGTCCGTCAGAGAGCAGAAACGCCAAAGGTCGCAGACATATCAGGAGGCATTATTCGACCATCATTTCAACATATATATATATATATATATATATATATATATTACTCTAATATTTTATTTTTGAATTTCTTTTTGTTCTCTATTTAATAACGGTGCATGTTAAAGTATTTATTTAGGTTATATATATATATATATATATATATATATATATATATATATATATATATATATATATATATATATATATATATATATATATATATATATATATATATATATATATATATATATATATATATATATAACTCTAATATTTTATTTTTGAATTTCTTTTTGTTCTCTATTTAATAACGGTGCATGTTAAAGTATTTATTTAGGTCTTATTTAATTAAAATAACCCAAGTCGTTTACTTAATTGATGAATAATATGTTCTCCCTATGTTTTGACAAAAATAAATTTGGATATACACGCGCGGACGGGTTCCAACAGAGTGGTGAACCCTTCGAGTGACAGGAAACCGGTTGTCCGGTTTAGATATTTTGAATTTGAAAAGTTATCTGGAACCCACTGTGTTCCCCCTACGTTTGTGCTTCATTTGACATTCCATTTAAATTTACATTTCATCTGCATTTTCTATGGGATAAATTGGAACAAGTATGAGTGGGTGGGTCCGCTTTGAAGATTTGACTTTGACTGAAGTAACAAAAAAGTTGAAGCCTTCGAGGAAAATAGGAAAATTTTCATTTTTAGTACTAATTTATTATCTCATGAGCGAGTTAGTCTCTAACCTAAAAGAACAAATTGAATCTCAAATTTTCATTTAAAACCGGCTTATCCAGCCCGTGAGCCGACGAACCGAATAGTGGTCCGATCCGTTTGGCATTATTTGGTCCACTTACAATGAAATCGATCAAGGACTGACCAAAATAATTCATAGCTGTTTGAAATCGATTTACTATGAACCAATTTTTTGTCAAGTTGGTCCATAATAGAAGTCTATCATATTTGCATGGGGAGAGGCTCGAACTCGCTCTCCTGGGTCCTTGCTTGAAACATTAGAAGATTGACTACTATGGTACCTATAAAATCTTACTACATATTGTCAGCAAAATTTATATATTAAGTTTTAGGCGCAGAATAACATAAAATATCAAATATATGGTCTTCTTGTTCTAAAATATATTTTAAATTAAAATTACGATGTAACAAAGATCCATTGGTTGAACCATTGATTCACCCGTTGAATTGTTGACCCGATGACCCAATAAATTTTTTTGGGTCAACAATCGGATTAGGTCTAATAATTTTGAGTAACGCAATCAATCCTTGAAGATGGGGAACATTACATCTCTAGTAAGTTATCATGTGATATTAACAAGTACTTGGATGGTATTTATAAATTTGAAGTCAAATATGT